GAAAAATATGGCAAGTCCTGCTAGAGGAGCTTTGAGATCAAGACCTAGGACACAGAAGGAAAGTCACTTTCGTGTCACAATCACATGTCTTGTCAGAGTAACTGTAACTGTAGCTCCCAGGGCTCACAGCTGGGCAAGATCGATGATTCCCTTTTTTTTCCCCCTACTACTCCATGCGGATCTACAGTGGACGGTGGAAGATTGTGGGTCGTTCTCGGGTCCTCGGGCAGAGCCGACAGGCGCTCTACCCCCTGAGCCATCTCTCCGGCTGATTACTTTTCTTATCAGCAGCTTGCTTAGCACCTTCCTGGACAATGAGAGCAAGACAGTAGGGATGAAACTTCCAGGTCTGAACCAGCTCGATTTCTGGATGTTTGCAATTTCTTCAGCAATTGGGCCTACTGTCAAGTTCAAGAGGGTAACTAACAGCATTGGCAACACACTGTAGTGTTTAGGGGGGGTTTTGGGACTTCTTCACCAGCCCACACTCACAAAGAAATAATCCAACCTGGCACTGGGTTTTTTGTTAGCCTGTGGTATTTAGTAAGAGAACTGTTGCCCATTACAGGATAGCTCCATTTAAACTTTTTATATATAAGTATGTATGTATCACATGTTTTCTCTTATTTGTGAATGATAGCTTGGAATCTTCAACAACCATAAGTGAGAGAAAATATGGCATTTGTCTTTATGAGTCTGGGTTACCTCACTCAGAATGACTGTTTCCAGATCCAACTGTTTGTCTGTGAATGTCACAATTTCATTTTTCTTAACAACTACATAGCATTCCATTGTGTAAATGTATTACATTTTCATTAGCCATTTATCAGTTGATGGACATCCAGGCAGTTTCTTGTTCCTGACTATTATTAATAGAGCAATTGTGAACATTGATGAGTAAGTATCTCCATAGTAGGATATATAGCCCTTTGGATATGTGTTCAAGGATGGTACAGCTGGATCATGTGACAGATATACTCCCATCTTTTTGAGAAACATTCACACTTATTTATAGTGGTTGCAGCAGTTTGTATTCCCCCAGTAATGAAGAAGTGTTCCTCTGTCCCTATATCTTTGTCAGCACTTGTCCTCATTATCAACTGTGGTCTTTATATAGTAAACGAACTCTTAATACTTGCTCCTCTAAGACTCTGTACCTCTGAGCATCACCTCTTCTTTTTCCCACTCCTCCTTTTCCAGTTTCTGGTAGCCCCATTGACACATCAGCATCCAGCCTGCAAGCTAAGTCATATGCTATGTCAGTCATAGCAGACTATGTTTCTAGTTTCTATCGTTTCTAGGAGCACCACAGACCTGTCAAATGGCAGTCTGTTAGGCCAGGTGGAGGTGGAACTCAAAAGGATATGGTCTGTGTCCCAGACCAGGACATTAAACATGCATAGTATTTCCTCAGGTGGCCAAACACAAGACTGGGGAAGGGCTGATATCACACATGATCTCTGTCCTCCCTACTCTGGGCTTTTCAAGGCTGGTCCTGTCTTCCTATAGATGAACTTTTGTATGGATAATGTAAAAACAGTTTTTTTTAGTTTTTTATTTTTTAGTTTTTTATTTTATTTTATTTTATTTTTTTAAAAAAACTATCCTTTCTCATTTTACATGCCAAATCCAGTTCCCACTCCCTCCCCTCCTGTGGTTTTCTTTAAAATGTAGATATGTCTCCATGCAGATGAAAATGAGCCACCTTGGAGGGGAGGACAGAATAGTAGCAGCTAAGTCCCTGGGTCAGTGAGTAAAGACAAATACCAGCATCTGAGCAAGGTGGACCTAAGACAGCCACAGCGAAGACAGCCACAGGGCCAAAAGAAGAGGCTGCACAGAGAGGATATAGGCAGAGACAAGTGTGGAGCAAGAAACAGGAAACAAGGTCAGCAGCTGAGGTAATGAGAAATATCTGAGAAAAGTTAATCATCCAGCTATTGTAAACAGCACAGCAATGAACATAGCTGAAAAAAAGTATCTGTGGAGTCAGAGGTCAAGTTCTTTAGGCATATGTCAATGAGTGAGTAGAAGAGCTGGGTCATATGATATGATAATTTGAATGTAACTGGCACTATTTGGAAGTATGGCTTTGTTGAAGTAGGTATGGCCTTGTTGGAGGAAGTGTGACATTGTAGATGTAGGTTTTGAGGTCTCATATATGTTCAAGCTATGTCCGGTGTCTCAGTTCACTTCCTATTGCCTTGGGATCAAGATGTAGAATTCTGTCTGCCTATATACCACCATACTCTCAGCCACCATGCTCCCCACCACGGTGGTAATGAACTAGACCTCTGAAACTGTAAGTCACTACCTCAATTAAATGTTTTCCTTTATAAGAAATACCATGTCATGGTGTCTCTTCACAGCAGTAGAAACCATAACTAAGACACATGATAAATGTATTTTTAACTTTAGTATTTTGATTTCCATAATGATCGCCCCAGTTTGCAACCTCACCAACAGTGAATGAGGGCTCCCTTTCCACCATGCTGCATCCAGCATTTGTTGTCAACTATTTTGTTGATCTTTGCCATTCTGACTGGGGTAAGATAAAATCTCAGTTTTGATTTCCATTTCCCTAATTGCCAGGGACTATGAACATTTTTGAGTATTTCTTAATCTATTTTTTCTTCTTTTGAGAATTCTCTGTTCATGTTCCAGGCCCATTTTTTTTTTTGAATGGGTAGTTCATTTTTTTTGGCTCTATTTTTTTGAGGTTTATATATATATATATATCTTTGTCAGATATGTAGCTGGCAAAGTTTCTTTCCCACTCTATGTGCTTCCTCTTCGCCCAGTTGATTGTTTCTTTAGGTGTGCAACAGCTTTTTAGCTTTATGAAGTCCCACTTATTAATTATTAGTCTCAATTATTCAGCGAATGGAGTCCTATTCAGGAAGTCCTTTCCTACATCATGCAGGCACTGCCTATGTTTTCTTCTAGCAGTTTCAGTGTTCCATGTTTCACCTTCAGTCCTTCACTCCATTTGGAGTTAGTTTTTATGCAAAGTGACTGATATAGGTCTTCTTACAGGTGGACACCCAGTTTTCCAGGCACCATTTATTGAAGATGCTTTCTTTTCTCCAGCTTATCTTTTTTACATATTTGTCAAATATCAACTGCCTGAAGTCATGTTTGGGTCTTGGATTTTGTTCCACAGGCCTATGTCTATATCTGTGTCAGTACCATACTAATTGTATTATTATGACTAATTGGGCACTAAAGTATTATTCATTTTTAATGTTTATTTATTTATTTTCTATCAATCAACTAGCCTATCATCTTGAGATGGTCTTAATTCATCTTCACATCTTATGCAAAATCAGGAAGAGAAAGGGAACAGGCTGAAGACAGGATGGCTTCCTCAGGATACTGAAACTATAAACAAGAACAGCTTTGCTATTTCATTAATGGCTTATGAAAAAGAACAAAACCACTCAACAGCTTTACAACAGCATTGTCAAGTGTCGGAGAACAGTCGAGAAGCCACAGTCAGACATTCCATGTTTCAGTTACACTAATATATTTCAAGGGACATAGGAACTCCATGCCACTACACATCATGCTACATTCAAGGTAAAACAAGTCCTTCTTACCACTAGCCAAGTGTTGAGTCTCTCCAGGGCACTATAAGAATGCACTGAAGAGAACAGATATCCCAAAGCTGACTGTAACAATAACCTTCAGCACACACACTAGTGTACCATTAGTAAAATGCCACCATCAGTTCCATAAAGCAGCAACATGAGTGCATTTTTAGAGTCTGATACTCTTGCTATTCTAAAATTCTTCCCAGAGCAAGGGTAAAACATACTTTTTGCTTTATAATTTAAAATATAAAATAACTGCTACAACAAAATACATTTAACATTATACCATATTTAATGAAATCCATGAAAATGACTTACCTTACTGAGGGCCTACTTCTACTCTTTCCTAAAAGTAGCAAATCATTGGGACTGGAGAGATAGCTCAGTAGTTAAAAGCACTGCTTACTCTTCAGAGGACCCAGTTTTGATTCTCAGCACCCAAATAAACGACAGCTCACATCATCTGTAACTCTAGTTCCAAGGGATCCAATGCCTTCTTCTGTCATACATGGACACTGCTTGCACATGGTGCACAGACATACATGCAGGCAATATATTCATATATGTATAAAATAAATACTTTTTAAAAAAAGTTTAAAACAGCAAATCATGAAATGTTATTATCTTCTAGCTTTTCCCCTCTGCAGATGCTAACCAATAAACCACAGAAGCTTGAAATTCTTTATAGTCAAATATCAACTTGGCCCTAGAATCATTTATATAATAAACAATTCAGCCCCTTAGTTTCACCTTAAATAACCCACAGTGACCAGTGACAGCAACACATTATTAAGGAGTTTCCCTAAAATCATTTTTAAGGCAGCTTGCCAGCCAGAACAATTCCAGCGATGCAAGACTAACTCAAGGCTGGTATAAAAACCACCTGAGGGGAGCTGGAGAGATGGCTCAGAGGTTAAGAGCATTGCCTGCTCTTCCAAAGGTCCTGAGTTCAATTCCCAGCAACCACATGGTGGCTCACAACCATCTGTAATGGGGTCTGGTGCCCTCTTCTGGCCTGCAGGCATACACACAGACAGAATATTGTATACATAATAAATAAATATTAAAAAAAAAAACAACCTGAGCTAACAGTGCTCCTAAGAAAGGCTAAGAAAGCCTAAGAAAGGCTACTCTTACCTTCAACTCTCAACAGAAAGGGTAAAAGCAGGCCTGAGTCACTGAGGCAGTGTGCAGCCCTGCAGCACCTTAAGTGCAGATGTCCAAGGAGCTGTTGTGGCCACTGCCTACCAGAAAGCCAGCCATGTGGCCCTGGCCCATCTCCCTCAAATTCTCACAAGTTCCCTTTGTCATTTGTAAGCCTCTGAGAAGGTATATATTTCCACTCTTCAATTGTGTGTCTCTGTTGAATTAATTTTTCTGCCTTACCTAACTATGTAACATACATACCATGTAGTCTTCTCTGGAGTGCTTCTTCTTCTAGGGTAATCATATAAATTTGTTCATCCAAGTCTTCAAGTATCTAAATGGAAAGATGAGCTACTTAATAATGCAGTGTAACACACTGAAGTATATGACACCCCAGGCTCTGTAGCTTATTGTTTAAGACAATGTGTTATATCGACTCAAATAACTGGGACCCCAAAATTAAATGTCCAAGCTATTTAATTTGTGAAAATTTAAGCATATTTTACATACTTTATTTTTAAGACGTTTATGTTTTTCTATTTTAGTACTAACCAAACAGTTCAAAACTTGATAGAACAAAATCTAAATGCATCTAAATTGGATATTTTAAGGCTTAAAGGGTTACAATTTGTAGTAGTATTCTCAAGGGCTAACAAGGGCATGGATTTTAAACAGAGTGCAACACAGCAAATATATCTATATGGGCAAGCTGTTATTTTAGAGCTAAAAGGAAGAGAACATGTAGTAAAATATTTGTCTCCCATGTGTTTTTCACCCATTCTCTAAATTAAGAATCTGTAAACTGGGGGCTGGAGAGATGACTCAGTGGTTAGGAGCATTGGCTGCACTTCCAAAGGGCCTGAGCTGGATTCCCACCAGTCACAAGCCAGTTCACAACCACACATAGAGTAGCTTCATCTATCTACACAGCAGGTACTAGGCTAGCCAGAATTACACAATAAGACCCTGCGCTTCAATATTAAAAAACAAAAAATAAAATAAGACAAAAGTTCCATAAACTTTATCAGAGACACACAGAACATTCCATTTTTTAACTTGATACAGCAAGTAGTTCCATAAGTACTGGAAGCTGAGCTCATAAAATCCATCCAAGACAAAGCCTTAGAAAAGTAGTGTTTTTACACACAAACATTCAACAGCCTCCATACAATGGTGGGGGGGGTAGAGCCCTCATCAATCACCAACTGTGTGAGATAGTGTCTTGACTGTCTTCAAAACCAGTAAAACCCAAAACTTCAATTCTGGCTTTGTTAACTAAGTGCTCTATGAGAGTCTCCCTGGCTCTGGAGAGTGTGAAAGCAGCAGAGCTGATGGCAGTGCAACCTCTCACTCAAGCCCAAGCTACTGATTCCAGCAAAGCAACAAAAAGGGAGCAGCTGCTGGAGTAAAGTAAGGATGGGATGACTGTTTCTGCGCACCTGCCAACTTGACAAGTTGCTCGAAAGGCATGTGGTTTCCACCTGAACACATTCGTAAAGCAACCCACTGCTTTCCAGTCCCTTCACAAGTATCTACAGTCCCCTTCAGTCTGGCACTAGGCTATCATTGAACAGATGTATCACCAGATCCACCCTGAGAGTAATAAAACAATAAAAACAAAATAAATAAGAAAAACTAGATTTGAGTCTGCAGAACTGACCCCTTCACATGCTCCAGCAGATCACAGATGGGGTGAATATTGGCAGGAGGAACCAACCCACACCCTTGGTTCTAAGCCTGGGTTGTCGCAGCGTTGGTCAGCCCACCAGCTCACCCTTGTCCTCACCACTAGGGTGAGCTCTCCTGAGTTTACCCTTTGCAGTGATGAGCAAGGGGGCCAGACTCTGCAACGAACACTTGCAAGTTAAGATATATAGATAGAGGGGTTTACTGCGTGACTTCCTATGTCATGCTACAGCTTCCACGCTAAGAATTTTTTCCTTTTTCTTTTCTTTCTTTTTTCTCTTAAATTTAATGGGGGGGGGGGGGGAGCGGATGCTGCAATGACAGAGGGCAGATACACAGAGATGGGAAATGAATGGGACCGAGATGTATGAAGTGAAACACAACGAATAAATAAAAAGAAAAGGGAAGCAAGGAAGGAAGGAAGGAAAGAAGAAAGGAAGGAAGGAAGGAAAGAAGGAAGAAAGGAAGGAAGGAAGGAAGGAAGGGAGGGAGGGAGGGAGGGAGGGAGGAAGGAAAGAAGGAAGGAAGGAGTAGATAATAGATAATGATAGAGAATGACCATCACATGAGGGGAGGAAGGAGAAGAAGATGTCTCCAGAGACCTTACTAAGGCTGAGAAACAGCACAGGCTAGAAAGCATGGGGTCCTAAGCAGGAGTGGTTTATGATGAGGTCGGCTGGATAACCAAAGGGAGAGTAACCCAAGACTGTTTCTCAATGAGGGGGCAGAGACAAGAACTCTCCTCTTAATCAGTGTTTCCCATCACTTCCGGCTGTTTGAATTTAAATTTGCCATGTTTACCTGTCCTAAGTCCTAACACTTTTAGGATTTTTATTTTACAGTATAAACTATTGATAATTCGGAACACCTGAATGACAAGAGGAGAAGCACAGAGATGTGTGTATATCATGTGCCTCTGAGCATTCCAGCATCTTCACAACTTTATGCTCTAAGGAGCAAAGGCTTCACAGGGAAACTCCAAGTACCTCCAGGGCCTTGGCTCATCACTACTGTGGACTAACAGGAACTCAGACACGAGCAACCAAGATAAGAATTTCAAACAGTAACTTTGAGATTAAAATAACTGTCAAAACTGAGGCTTAAATAAAATGTTAGCAAAGGTCAGAGGGGAAAAGTACTTCAAGTTGAAGAGAAAAAACACTGAGCCAGTGTTTCTGATGGCTAAAATAACTGACCTGATTGACAGCCTAAACTCCGAGAAGTGAACAGGCACTTCAGGTAGAGAAAGTCATGTGAAAACACAGAGGTAGAAAGGAGGCAAGTTCATGAGGAGGAAATCGCCACTCTGGAGCTCTTGTAGGACTAGAAGATAGTGGCCTGGAGCCTGGGCTCTGGGTTCAAATTTGCCTTTACACAGCTCTGTGACTAACTACTCAGACTCCCTGAAATCAACTTACCTACAAAATGAGGCCACCAACACCCACGTTATGGCCTGTCAAGATGACATGAAACTGTGTGCCACATATAGCACTTAGAACCAGCATGGGGCAGTAACTAGTCATGTTCACTGGCTATTAGGAACAAGAAAGAAAATAAAAACAACTAAGGCTGTGTAGGTGCTGTTACAAGGCAGCATGGGGACAGGTAACACAGAAGTACTTTGGCTTTATAAACAAGGAAGTGGAGCTGCAGCTCTGCACTAGTCAACAGTGCTTAGCAGACTATAAGTGGCTTCCTCCTCTTCTCATTACCATCTGTAGATAAGGTTCAAATGACAGAGAAGGTCCAGAGCACAGGGTAGAGCAGTAAAAAAAAACTGGAGACTATGAGTGGGAATTGAAAACTTGTCTACAGGAAATAGAAAAAAAAACATAGTAGAAGAAACTAAATGAATTTGGTATCACAAAACCTCTTTTTAAAGAAACTGAATAAGAAATTGTAACTTTCAAAATCAAGTAAAAGATAACTGAAAGATCATCTACCATAATATTGCTTCAGTGTGTTTCCTTAATGACATCACCACAAGGAGAGGACAAGCCCAGGGCCAAAATGGCTCAGGAGATAGCCTTGGTCATACACAAGCCACAGGCACTGGTAAATGTGGAGAAGGAAGTACAATAGTGACCACAGTGACATCTGGACTTCCCTCCAGGAGTATGCTGGGGACTGTGGCAGGTGAGCTGCCCTGCAGAGACAGAACAAGGCTGAAACCAACAGCACAGAGCCCTGTGGACCACAGCAAAACAGCTTCAAGCTGTTATGAGAATCTGTGCAGAAGCAGAAGAGAGGTGCAACACAGAATGCTGAGAAAACCCTAAATGTGTAGATATCTGAGACGTAAGTTTGCAGGCAATGAGGAGCCAGAGAAGGAACTTAAATGATAAACGGCAGATTGTCTAGGAGTAGCTAAGTTATTGTCTGTAAAAAAAAAAAAATAGTTCAAAGATCAGAGAACTAGGAACAGATCATTATATTGCTACCCACTATAAGTCATTTCTGAGAGTAAAAGTATAATTCAAGATACAACGTGTATATTTTCAGAAACTGGTTCATAAATCAAAGTATGAATACTGTCAATTTTCTTTTTGTCTCTGTTTGGTGTTTGTCTGGGAGCTTTGGTTGATTTATTAGCTTTATCTTCAGACAGCTCTCCTCACTCTGTGGCCCAACTAGTCTTGAGCTCACAATCCCCAAGCCTAGAATCAGGGATACTAACAGCATGGTCAGCTGTGTGATCAATTCTGAAACAGATAAAATTACTGTTGGATTAAGGGCAATGAACACACAAAATACTTACAAACATCTGCAAAGTTTGTCTTGAAATTTTCTATATAAACTTTTATTTAAGTGCATATAGTTAGCACTTTGAAAGGCAAAAACAGATTTTGTTTCTAAAGATTAAAAAAGTGATTTTAAAAAATTAAAAACATGAATGATAAAACTAAAAAAAAACTGTCCTTAATTTTCTAAAATCTTTGTTATATGATCAAATATATAAATATAAATATTTAGCAAACCTAAATAAAATAAAATACTTACTGCTGGCTTCACCAGCAACTGACCCATCACTGTGAACATACGGGAAAGGCCAACTGGGGTACACACTGCAAAAATGAAATAACTAGTGAGAAAACAGGAAAATCAGCTGCAAGAGCGTTTTAGGTATATCCTCACCTCCAACCTCGCTTCACCAGGCACTCCATCAGAAGGCCTTCAACTCCACCAAACAAGAACTAGCACAGCATGAGGAGCCCATGCATAGCACATGGGATGTGAGGATGGAAAAAGACTACAACAGTCGAGATTACAAAGGATCAACATTCTTGTTTAAAACAAATTAAATAGACCCAGAAAAAAACATACATTTAACCTGCTCGAACTGAGAGCCAGAAAATAGTATCTAAAGTAACAACAATAGTTACAAGTCCTTTGAACTATGTTTGACAACTTATACTATTCCTGAGAAGAGTATGATGTCTTCAGTAAAACCAAACAAATTTTGAAATAAAGACTACAAAGTCATCAAATAGAATTTTACTCTCTCCGTTTAAAGTAACTCCAGTGTTACAGGTGGGCTAGAGTGGATGTAAAGAATTTGCACATGGGGTGGGAGTGGGAGATACACAGGGAACATGTTAGTTTTGTGGAGTGTGTGTGTGTCCAACACAGTGGAAAAGGTTTTCCTTAGTGAAGAAAAGCACCCAATTATTTCAATTATTAAAATTTATCTGAAATAATAAAAAAAATTTAAGGACAACTCAAAAACCAGTCTCCATTGTTAAGAAATCTCATCAGGAAAACTGCCACAGTTTTCCAGGGACAAGAGCTCACTGTCCCGCCAGTGTCACCATGACGAGTACTTACAGAGAAGCAGCAAGCATCCCATCAGTGAAATGCAGGAGTATAAATATGGTAAGTAGAACTCCCAGAGATCTGTGAAAATATCAATGCATTTTAATAAGAAATAGTCTATATGCATTTTAATAAGAAAATAGTCTATATTTTATCTTAATAAATAGTAACTTGTGATAAAAATTTTAACTGCCTATCTGAGTACATAAATGGTCTTATTTCTAAATTAAGTATAAAAATATCTAAATTAAGAATAAATTATTTCTAAATTAAGAATAAAATTATTTCTAAATTAAGAATAAAAATATCTAAAGAATAAAAATATCTAAAAAAAAAAAGAAAGAAAGAAAGAAACAACCCTTTTGAGCCAGTGGTAGTGGTGATGCATGCCTTTAATCCCAGCACTCAGGAAGCAAAGGCAGTTGGATCTCTGTGAGTTCAAAGCCAGCTTGGTCTACAGAGTGAGTTTCAGGACACTCAGAGCTACACAGTAAAACCCTGTCTTGGAGAAAAAAAGAAAGAAAGAAAAAAGAAAGGAAGGAAGGGAGAAAGAAAGGAAGGAAGGAAGAAAAAAATTGAAAAAAATGTTTCAAAGGGAGAAAACACTCAATGGAATTTTAATAACAGAAAGTAATTAAACAAAAATAGATGGAAAACTGCTTGATCTTCTAAAAAAATGAATATTTATTGCTTTGTTTAAATATGTCTAAAGACATCTAAATTTTGTAAAAGAGATAACTGCACAAAGAATTATTTAAAAGTTTTAAAACCCCATATAATTGTATCCCAAACTCAGATGCCCATCATAGGAATTATTTAAAACAGTAATCAGGTACCATATAAAGACTCCATGCTGGCAGCATCGCTGTCAATCAGGGCAGAAGCCACCCACACCATCCCAAGAATCAGCAATGCAAGAAGCAGCAACATGACCAGAGTTTCCAAAACTCGGGCTCGGATTCCCTGGAAACACAACAATAACAGTGTTTTAAGACTTATATCACCTCATGAGCAACTAGGCTTCTATTTGAAAGCACAGAGCCATCCTTTGGAAGGAAAGAAAATGTATATTTATATTTAATAAATTTATATTATGTTTTTTATATAAATCTATGTTTATTAGAGAAAGTACTGTTTAAGGTTTATGTTTAGAGTGATTTTTCAAAATTATATTTTAAAAAATAATAAACTTGGAATAAAGCACAAAAAAATCAATCATACCAGCATTTTGAAGAAACATTTTTAACTATTACTTTCCTAGCACTTCCCATAAGAAAGGACATTTGCGAATTTCCATCTGTGGTTCTAATCAAGGAATGACAGACTCTGACACACTGGAGACACTGGGCTCCACCACCAGATCAGGAAGGGCCCAGCAACATCCTGCAGCCTCTGGAGTCCTCTAGTGACCAGCTGGAGAATTGCTTGATGGACAGCAACACCAACTACATTCCATTCATTTTTCATATACAATGGGAGATCAACTAGCTTATGAGGCTTGACTATAATAAGGGATCATCATGCACATTTTTAAAATAAACAGATTCTGACCTCAAAAGGTTGGACCAAAAGACCACTTGTAAACTCGGAAACTGCTAGACAAAGCCAAGTTGAAACTTTATTACTCCTAGAAAGTCACCAAATGATTGCTTCTGTAAATTAGTTCAAAGATTTACATCCCTGCCTTATATCTCTAACTTCTAACAACAAACTTATAAATGCACCTGCTTTCTCAGGAATCTAGTATCCCTCCATTTCATACTGAGAATGGTTTAAAGGTTTAAGTTACAAAGACTCAGACACATTTCATTTTGGTTGATCTTTGTTAATACCTGAGCTGAAGGACAGCAAGAACACAGGCATCACATCTCTACAGTCCTGAATCATGGCACAAAGAAGAAATGCCCCAGTCCAGTGTGCTGATATCAGGGTAAAGTAGCTTTTTCCTACCTATCCTTCAACAATATCATGGTCCTGTGCAGGCTTTAAACACTTGCTCAAATGTTCCAGCTCATCTAAAGTGTGTATGGCAAAGAAGGCCACTGAACCAAAAGGAATCAGTCTCATATCTTAGCACATTAGGTCTAATAACAAGCAACTATTTCAAGAAAGGATAAATCGAAAGACAAGGTGAGCATAGCTGCCCAAGTCTGCAATCCCAGCACTCAGAAGCCTGAAGCAGGAGGGTTTAGATTCCCTAAAAAACATAGTTCAAGGCCAGTCTAGTATACATGGCAAGTACACAACCAGCCTGGGTTACAAAGTAAGATTCTGTATAAAAACTGATTTTAACTTTGGAACCACCCATAACCAAGAAACTACATGGAATTGATACCCTCTGGCAAAGGGAAAATCAGTTTTTTCCAAGGAAGTCTCAACGAAAATATCAACTACACTTCAGGGAAGGCCCCGTGCTCAGGAATAGTTGGCTAAGACAAAAGAGAATCAATTGTATTTTAATGAACTTTTAGTTTCATTTTGCTTTGTTTGAGAATTTTTATCTTATTTTTCTTTTGCTTTTTGTTTTGAATTTCATTTTTGTGTTTTTGTTCCTTGGTTTTTGGTTTTTGGTTTTTTTTCTTGTGGGGATATTTATTGTTGCTGCTATTGCTTGTTTTCTGTTGTGTTTGAAGAACAGAGAGAACATAAAGTTGAGTAGGTAAGGAGGTGGAAAAGATCCTGAAAAAGCTGGTGAAAGGGGAAAACATCAAAATATATTGTGTAATTTTTTTCCACAAAAAACAAAATTGTTTTTAATTTTTAATTGTTTATCTATTACAGTGCTGTGGGACGATGGTCTTGTAGCCCGTAAAGATTTGTCACTTTTATTGGTTTAATAAAATGTTGATTGGCCAGTAGCCAGGAAGGTTATTGTCACTGATCTTGGCTGTCCCCCAAAACTTGATGATAAACCCCTATTACTGAAAGCGTCACACACACTAGTTACATGATGGAGAAATCCAGTTGGCACTAACTAGAGCTTCCTCCCTGCTGGTAGCTGTCACAGAAGGTGCGATGACGGCTGCTAGGAGGCAAATGTCAACAACAGTCTTAACTTGCTGTGAACTCTGTGAACAATAATAAAAATCAGCATGGCAAGATACACCCATTAGTACAACAGTGGTGTGGGTGTTATGGAGTAACCAACTGTTTTCTGATTGGATTTAAAGCCCCCTCCGCAGGAGGAAACACATGTCAAATACTTCAAATACCACCAACAACCCATGGTTGGGGAGCTCACAGACCCCAGAAGTGAAACTATTACACTATTTTGACAAGTGGATATAGTATCAAACTGCTGTCTAAATTCAAGCTCTATACTCACAGATTAATTCAACTCTGAGACCTCATTGAATGTTTCCTTGTACAGTAACTAGCACAGAAACTCATGACTGGTCAAATTCAGAAAATAAATATCTGTAGAGCACCCAGCAACAAACAGGACATTTCTAACATTGTCCTCCCCTTGACCACAAGGCTCAAGGACCATCACAGAAGAGGAGACAGAAGATTATAAGAGCCAGAGGTAGTGGAAGACCTGAGCAAAACAGTGTCTTCTGGACATGACAGAACCACTGCACTTCAAGAACTCACAGCAGCACAGACTGCCTGCACAGGGTCAAGAAAGTTAACATTTCAGCATAGAGGGAAGAAAGGTTCAAGGGTCCCCACCCCTAGCTGTTCGGTTATTGTTGGCAGCTGATGACTTCTGAGTGAGAAAGCCAGTTTTCTTTAAGGGTATGGCTCCTGGTGGATTAACCACGCTCTAGTAGATGCCGCCATGCCCAGAAATACATAGGAAGCAGATCCATCCAGTGAAATATTAAAGGAAATGAAAAGGACACAAAGTCAGGAGGGTGAAGGAGGTGGGGATAGACCTGAGAGGAGTTAGGTGGAGGAGTAGAGGAAATATAATCAGAACATATTGCATGAAATTCTCAAAGAATTAATACTTAAAGGGTAACTAATAAGTTAATATGTAAATCAAAGTCCTGAATTACAAAAGTTCAATATAATTCAAATGTGTGAGATATGTCTCAGTATACTACATCACATCAGGATACTCTATTAGTTACCCAGAAAGGCTCTTTTTCTTCTATTTCTATGCTAATAATCCTTATAAATTTTTCATAAAAAGTGATTAGGAAAAAAAATTTAAAAAACAAGAAAAAGAAAAAGTGATTGGGATCCCAAACTCCCAGGCCTAGTTCTAGCTTTCCTATACTGGCTTTCCCTGGTAAGTCCCTGAATAACCAAGCCTGCCTGCACTATCTTTACATTCTTGGGCCTAGATTCAGACATGTGGCTCATGAAAAGGCCTTGCCTAATGGGTTTCTCTAGAACAACACCTGCCTGACCAATTTCCACCTTGCAAGGTCAAGTTCCAAAACAGTCTTGCCCAGTATATTCCTCCAAACCCTTCCCTGGCTGTGCTATCCCTGTATGTCCAAGCCTAGCTCCAGCTGTGCGATCATCACAGTAACAGTAACCCTAACTAGGACTTCTATATCAGCCTACAATCTCACCTCAGACATACAACCAATGAAGGAAGTCCACAGACCCAAGTCACATCACAAAACCACAAACAATATGAAGGCCGACAGTATATCCCCATAAAACTCACTAGAACATAGAAATGTTCTCCAATGAGAATTATCTAGAGGAACCCCAAGAGACAGAATTTAAAGAATAATCATAAAGTAGGAGGACTTCCATCAATAGAGTACCAAGTACTAAACATCCTTATTAGGCCTTTATCTCACAGAATATCTCAAATGCTAAATAAAATATTAAGTCTCCATACAATCTCCTCTTTGTCTACTAACTCTGAGTAACCAACTAATACTTTTTAGTGTCAGTGTTCTAGTTAGGGTTACTATTTCTATAATAAAATACCATGACCAAAACAAGTTGAGGAGGAAAGAGTTTATTTGGCTTACACTTCCACACCATAGTCCATCATTGAAGGAAGTCAGGACAGGAACTCAAACAGGGCCAGACCTGGAGGCAGGAATTGATGAAGAGGCCATGGAAAGTTGCTGCTTACTAATTTGACCAGCAAGGCTTGCTCAGCCCTTCTTATAGAACCCAGGACCACCAGCCCAGGGATGCCACTACCTACAATAGAGTGGTCCCTCCCCCATAAATCGCTGATTAAGAAAATGCCCTATAGCCAGATCTTATGGAGGCATTTTCTCAATTGAAGTTCCCTCCTTTTGGATAACTCTAACACAGTGATTCTCGACCTTCCTAACAGTGTTGAACCCTTTAATACAGTTCCTAATGTTATGGTGACCCCCAACCACAAAATTATTTTTGTTGGTACTTCATAACTATAATTTTGCTACTGTTATGAATTGTAATGTAAATATTTGTGTTTTCTCAAGGTCTCAGGCAACCTATGAAAGTTCAATCCCCAAAGGGTCACAACCCACAGGTTGAGAACTGCTGCTTTAACATGTGTCAAGGTAACATGAAACTAGCCAGCACATGGTATAACTGATTATCAACATGTAGAAGAAAGTAAATAGATCTGTATCTATCACCATGCACAAAACTCAAGTCCAAGTGGATCAAAGACCTCAACACAAATCCAGTTACACTGAACCTGACAGAAGAGAAAAAGGGAAATAGCCTTGAATGCATTGGTATAGGAGAAAACTTCCTAAATATAACACCAATAGCACAGACACTAAGAGCAACAATTAATAAATGGAACCTCCTGAAACTGAGAAGCTTCTATAAGGCAAAGGACACAGTCAATGAGACAAAATGACAGCCTACAGAATGGGAAAAGATCTTCACCAATCCCAAATATGACAGACGGCTGATCTCTGATCTCTAAAATACATAAAGAACTAAAAAAAAACTAGGCATCAAAATACCAAATAATCCAATTTAAAAATGGGGTACAGATCTAAACAGAGAATTCTCAACAGAAGGAACTCAAATGGTTGAAAAAT